AGAGAGAGAGAGAGAGAGAGAGAGAGAGGGGGGCGACCTTCATCAAACCGATCGATTTCAGAACATGATGAACAAATTAAATAATGTAGAATTAATTGTCTTGTTGTTCGGAGGAGTGAGTAACAGTACTTTAAAATTCTCGGTCTCACGCGACGCTTGTTGTCTTCCCTGGGAAATTTGCTTTCGCTAAAAGGATTGGGGGTGGGGGGAGGGGCACTATTGTAGAGCTGTTCCTTAAGCTGGAGAATGAGATACATTTATGGTAGCTGTCACTGGTCGTTGGTCATTGTTTGTGTGCGTGCGTGTGTGTGTGTGTGTGTGTGTGTGTGTGTGTGTGTGTGTGTGTGTTTGTGTGTGTGCGCGCTAATGCATGGTGTTTTAGAAAAAAAAGAGAAAGGATGGGAAGTGGGGGTTATTCTGGGTCTTCTCTTTTTAGAAAGGCTACATTTTTCCAACAGCTAGACTATTTGCTCTCGTCTCTACTAACTAGTCTCAATCATTGCCCGTCATCACATGACAGATCATGGGATTATTCTTTTTTGTAAGGGTTTTACGGCGCTCGCAATTGCATAAGGTCTTATGGTGCGCGCGGGACACATTAAACTCTTTCAGTTGGTAGGAAATTTTGCATCTTGCTCGGGTGGCGGCCGAAGCCTACTCTTAATCTTCGTATCGATTTTAGACAATCAAGGGATCTTTAACGTGGGCAACTTGCACACGGGCCCTCCGAGATTCATAGGATTTGAAGTCTAAAAGTATGTTTACTATATTGTGATAATAATATTACATGTAATCAGGAGCGAGGCATGTGGCATATAACAAAAGCTGATAATGCCAAAGCGAGTCCGGGTATGTTCGTTGTATTAGGTGAAAGACAAAGACATATTCTGTACTTTGTATCATCCTCTCTTATCTCCTCAGGAGTTGCATGTTATAATGAGCTTTATCTGCTAGATACAGCTCTTTATCGTTTATATTGAGAGTGGTCTTGACTATTCGTATGTGCATGTAAGTGTGTGTGTGTGTGTGTGTGTGTGTGTGTGTGTGTGTGTGAGTGTGTGTGTGTGTGTATGTGTGTGTGTATGTGTAAGTGAGTGTATGAATATGTGTGTGAGTGAGTGTGTGTTTGTGTGTATGTATGTGTGTGTTTGTGTTTGTGTGTATGTATGTGTGTGTTTGTGAGTGTACGTGTATGCATGTGTGCGGCCGTGTCTGATGGCCTGTATATATTTATCATGCTACAGCTTAATCTCTCTTTGTGGAGATCAATAAAATACTATCGTATCTTATATTATCTTACTCGTTTCTTCTAACGGAAGTGATCTCCCGTCCTCTCTTCTTAAGTTCTAAAATGAATCTTTGTTGAGGTCAAATCTATATCCCAAGCATCTTTGTGTATCGCGGAAGAGGCTGATTTTTTTTAACGTTCTATTCTCAAGTTCTCTATGGTACTGCCCCAGTTAGCAAGGTCTAGATTCTATAATTCCTCTTCCTCTTTGGATGCTAAAAGCAATCACCAGCTCACGAAGAACGAATTATTATTATTAGTTCTCCAAAATAGAAAGTCCTTCGGTACGCCCTGATTTCCCAAGCGGTAACGGTAAGTCACCCACCTAAGGCTAAGTTATTCTGAACAATGAAGGCACAATGGGATCTTTGTATCTCCCAGGTACCTCTGTGTTGCTCTACAGGGAGGGGATGAAAGAAAAAAAAACCGAATCATCCGTTGCATGTTCTGTGTAAATTACAAGGAAGAGAACAAATTTGATTAGTCGAAAGTCATACTTTGATAACGTGCCTAACGCTGTTTCCGTAATGACCGATGGTTCTAAATTCTTGACTTCTAATGGTCCAGTTTTCATGAAATCACTATATGAGATATTTCCCTAAACAATAATATTTACAAGATAATGGTGTTTGATCTGTACTCTTAAAAATTTGGCTTTTGGGAAAATGGCTCATGGACGCCTTCCAAAGCAGAAAATTACAACTTCATTCTGGACACTTTGCTCCCACTAGTCCCCCTTATTCAAAAAAAAAATAATGATGATAATAATAATAGTGATGATGATAATAATGACAATAATAATAATAATAATAATAATAATAATAATAATAATAATAATAATAATAATTAGAATTAGAATTAGAATTAGAATTAGAATTTAAAAACACCTCTTTCTCCATTTTCCCCAGGAATCCGAGTGAACGCCATCAACCCGACCATTGTCCTGACCAGGTTACACGAACGCCAAGGTCAAGGTGAGGCCAGGAAGCGTGAGCTCGAGGAAAACATGGGCCGCAGACACCCTCTTCACGCCCGCTCCAGCACGCCAGAGGAGCAGGCAGAGGTGGCGGTGTTCCTGGCTAGTGATGGGGCAGGATTTGTCACAGGCCAGTGTGTCAAGGTGGACGGAGGGATCACCCTTGGCAAACGGGAGTAGGCTGAAAAGGGTTAATCTTGAAAACGCTTTGATTAAAGACGTGTTTTTGACACATTTTCGCTACTTTGGAATTACAAAGTTCTATCTGCTTTGTACCTAGGTTTGAGACATCTGACGTAAAAAAATTTTTGAGTTTGACAACATGTCGAGCTTTTTTCTAATGCAATTATTTGAATATCTCAATAACGACTGCAAATAATCTAGCGATTTTGATAGAGCAGATAGAACATTAATGTGGCTGTTGATCTTATTGTCTCAGTGACTCAAAACGTCCAATATTGTCTGATAGAACTTTGTCTTTCTATGGTAGCGATACGTCAGATGAATAGAAGATCAAAGGCAACGTTGTTAGGCGCGGCACATCTCAAACCATCATACACAAACTAGCAATACGAATCTGCATAATAATATTTATTTATAACATGCATATTGCTGTCCGCCTTTCGAAGTTTTGTTTTTTTAAATAACAATTTATTTGGGATTTTCTTTTGTACAGACTCGTGGCTTCTGTAACATTCCTTGATTTACTTTAAGAATAAATGTTTCCATCTTACAAAGCTGATTGTCAAAATCTTTTGTTTGAAGTCTTTATCTCCTTAGCGAAGGCCGCTGAAAAGTTATCATTTGGAGGCCCAGAAAATCTATGTTATTTCTGAGGTATAACAGTTTAAACAAGATAAATAAATAGATTCCACTTTATTTATATCCATGGGGAAATTTTGGTCACAAAGGTAAATATGCCTACATGCACAAATAAATGCCTAGCTATGTACATAATATTTAAATACACAAATATAAAAACAAAAATATGTTATCAAAGTTATCAAATTATACACAAAATGACATCAATGTAGACATTTTATATTCACGCCATTGCTGGTCGCAACTGGGCAGCGCCCTGTTTTTGAGGTAGATTTATCTCGTTTTGCACAAGGGCACACCCCACTGACCTCTAACCAAAACGCTTTAGTCACCGACTTATGTTTGACATTATAGTAAGCCTGAACTCATTAACCTTTCGGACATCCTGTATTTCGTTTTCCTGTTGGGCCACATGATGAACATTATCATTTTTTTGGGGGGGGTACTACAAATGATAACGAAACGAAGAGATATAAGAAGTCACTAAAAAGGTCTACATGACAAATCAGACGTGTATAATGGTATTTATGTGACCTCAACATCATCAATGTCCTGAGTAACTTAGGCCACGCAAAAGTCTGGCAGATAAGCCAAGGCACGATTAAACACTATTTCGGCACGACATGACTTCGTGCTGAATTTGTTTCAAGCTTTCTTCCTCGTAGTCATAAAGATAACGGTTTGTCTGTCAGTACCTGGAGATGATAAATGCATTTACAGATGAGAACATTTCTTAAACGAGATAGAACACATCAGAATTATGACGACTATGACTAATAAAACCAATAATTCTGGCAGAGAAGAATTTGCCTCATTGTGAGCATTTGAAAGCTTCATTTCCACATGTGGATGTGTGCAGCTTGCGGGCTTCACTTTTGACTTCCCTGCCTACTTTGATTGCTGCTCTCCAACTGGGCCTGTCTCCCTTGTATTTAGCAGACGCCTAATATATATTGTCAGACATAATAAACTAGGTCTTCTTGTGATACCTGGCTTTTTGTCATTTCCGAGCATAGCTTGTGCTTCGATTTGTTTGTTTGTTTGCGTGTTTGTTTGTTCGTTTGTTTGTTTGTTTTTGTTGGGGGTGGGGTTTTTTTTATTTGTTTGTTTTTGGTTTGGCTTGGTTCTAAGTATAGCAACAGTTTCTTGAGATCACCTGCTACAGCTACTGACTGAAGCTGCTGCTGAGAGTTTGACTTGGATTTGCTCTGATACTCAACATAGAATGGCGTACTCGAGTAGGGTAGTATACTTTATACTTTTGAGTCCCAGGATGTGGATTTGGTACTGGGATTTGGGACTACATACTCGATTTGGTACTGAGATTCACTGTTACTCATTTCCGGCAAATGTGCCTACCACCACTTGGCAATTAATGAACCGAATATTTGCAGATATTTGAAATGTCATTGGTTGCTTCGGCAAGCAACAAAAATTCTCACTGACTGAAAGTTATGCCATCCTGAAGGTTAAAGGAAGTTGCAACAAAGACTGTGAAAAATGTGACAAACGTCAACTGTTACAGAAAAAAGGTTAAGGCTATCTGCAAGTGTCTGGGCTTTGAGATCGTTTTTCGTACACCTGGCAAACTGCTGTATCTTCCAAGGGAAGTAACTCAGTAGTATTTTAAATGCATCTACTCCCTTTTGTGAATGACCTCCTCATTTATAGTGACCACTTTCTTTGTAAATTGTTTCCTTTTGTTTGTTTGTTTTTAAAGCTTTAAAATGCTGATTCGTTCAAAATGTCTATTCAGCTCCCATATCTTGAAGAGGTTATGAAAATGATAGATTTAAGGATTGTAAATAGGAGATAGCAGGATAGCTGCTTGAACTTTATCTTATACAACGCTTATCATTGCGTAGACATCAGCTTGTAATACAAATATATAGTCATTGAACACTGCATGTTATAAGACCAAAGTCTTCTGGCAAACATAATATTATGTACGCACCCATGTACAAATACGACATCACACGCTTGGTGCTATCATGCAATTCCATTTTCGAGGGGTTGTTTTATGTAAACCACTTCGAAATCACTTAATGCAAATCGTGATAACGCGAGTTTATACAAAATGAAATTGAAATTCTCCTTTACACTGGCATTAACAGAAATAAAAAGATGCTCGAAGTAAAGAGAAACTTTTTTTTTTAAATCGGACTGAAAGCTGTAACAAAGATACACAACAGGTGGACATTGGTGGAGCTTGAACTTCCAGATAACACTCAAATATATAATATATATCAGAAAAGAGAAAAAGCAAAACCCCACTTCTCTTGATACCCGTAGAAAATGTGGCCAAGAACATACGAATTCTGTACTATATCATATTGAATAATGATATAAGTAAGAGTTTGCTTAGCAAGAAGGTGAAATCCCTGTACAAAAAAGGGAAACCCTCACTTTTCTCCTAGGGAGATAATCCTTGCGGAATATTCCGTCATAGCTATGCGTGCATTATGTACCTTTGAAGTCCCTCCTCCTCACCCCTCTTTTTTGGGGAGGGTCAGAAAGTAGACTCGTAGCTCCACAACAGAGTATACCACCAGTTCGATGGATTATTAACATGTATCATAAACAAAATAATTAAGACTCTCATATTCACAAACTACACTGCACTACATTGTCTTGCTCCTTCAGTAGCACCCCCTACCCCCACAAACACACACACACAAGACGAAGAAGAAGAAGAAGAAGAAGAAGAAGAAGAAGAAGAAGAAGAAGAAGAAGAACTCTAACCCTTTCACAACTTCTTACCCAGAGACTTGAATACCAATTTTTGACATCACCCACACTCTCCCTCACTCACTCATTTCCTCCCTCCCCCGACTCCCTCTGACAACCCTTCCTTACTCGCTCACTCTCTCACTCACTCACTCATTTTCCTCCATAAGAGGCACATTATCGTTGAAGTACTCATCAGTCTTTTTCGGTTTAAACCGCTCTACCCCATGTAACTTATCCTCGAGTCCTCTGTCTTTCGTTTCTGGCATCGACAAGACCAGGGCACACGTCACAGTCGCCATGACAGCCATTATAATGTACGACACATACAAAACGCTGAAATCCCGAGGAATCAACAGAGGCGACACAATGCTGCCAATCCGCGCTGCCGTGAAGACGAAACCAAAACTGAGAACTCTCACAGGGGTTGGAAACAGCTCAGCTATGAAGGTGATCAAGATTCCCCAGCAGTGGTCAACCAGCACCGACGTGGTCAAAGCCAGAAGAGTGATGACTTGACCACCCACCTCAACACTTGTTTTGAAGTAGACAACTACGACGGTGAAGGAAAACAACCCCGCTGTACCCAGAAGCGTCACAGATCCCCAACGCCTGCCCAGTTTATGACCCAAAAAGGTCGCAAGAGGAGAAACAGGCATGCCGAATAACGAAAATAGAAGGAAATTGGTGTAGAAGTTCCCATAGAGGGACCCGATGCCAAATCCGATGGAGTAGTACATAACTGACATCAGAAAGTACACGGTGCAACAGACTATCGTCCTTTTACGAAGGTCCGGCCGAAACAGTTGTCTAATGGAAACCTTTTTGTCATCACGCCGACCCTCGCAGTTCGTGAAGTCCAGTGAACTTTCGTCCAGTTTCGGTCGTTTGTTTATCCTGCAGATTTTCTGAGCAACTTCTCTCGTTTTTTTCGCTTTTCCGTGAATGGCTAGCCACCGCATACTCTCCGGTACCCAGAACACAGTGAGGAATACACAGGCTGATAGCACAGCCGTTGCAATGTGCACATGTCTCCAGTTTTTCAAAAGGAGTACACAGAGCCCGAACAGAAGACCAGCGATATTCCAGGTGGGAAGTCCAGTTAGGATAACTCTCCATTTGGCCGTCACAAACTCTAGTGCGTAAATCTGAGAGGTAACTAAATTTCCACCAACGCTAAGACCTATCAGAAACCGAATAGCAGCGTACATTTCCCAGCTGGTAGAGAACACCGCTACACCATTCAAAACAATCCCTAGCCAGACCCAAAGATACATGCTAAACTTTCTGCCAAATCTCTCAGCCAAGACACCTCCTAGCAGAGAGCTGATCGTCATTCCTACCATCTGTATTGAAATGGTCAGCGGGCCTAGCCATGCCCTGTCGCATATGAGGCCCCACTCCGACACGATCGTTGAAGATTCAGGGTCGAATCTGATGTCCGAACACGAGTGCCATGTCGCACAGTTCTCCTGACCAGAGTCGGTGATGTTGTTCGGGGTTGAAGTTGACAGAACCAGTGTGGAATTGACGTCAGTTGTGTTGCCTGGAAAACGTAAAAAAATAATTACAGAATCGCTGTTATCAACTGAACTCAACAACAACAAAATCCTGTTGAACTGAAAAACAACTTTTATTCCTTGGGACTCCTTCCCGATATTAAGTTTTTAGCATGGTATGAATATTT